TGTGAATAATATTGATTTAGAGATAATTATATTCAAGATAATTCCTCGATAGTATAGAACATCTTTCCCATTTCGAGGTCATTTTTTGAACAGTGATGCATTTGCTCGAAGCAATTTTGAGTGTACGATTGAATTACATGTGCATGTGTGAAGCAATCGGTCACTTCGTTTTCTTTTAAGATTGTAAATTATAAAAACATCATCCTTATTATCATAGCTATTTCAACCATACACTAATGACTAATAATAATATGCAAAAAGTTAAGAACTCAAAAGAGAAGGGAGAATCTTTTTATACTATTTCGATGAAACACAGCTAGACCTTGTATTTTCTAACTCACATTTTGCATTATATAAAGCTGGTACGGCTTAGAAAATATTTGCAATCTATGTCAAAAAACATACAATTAAACAAACACGCCAGCATTTGTTTTTATTTAAATTCAACTCTTGAAAGAATATTTTTCCATCTACTTAACTGAAAAAAAAACAGAGTAATGATAAAGCAGCAATGATCACGAAAAAGAGAATTACATTGTGAATTTGCTCACTTTGTCGAAAATATTTCTGAGATATGTAATCTTACGAAGGAATCTCTTTAGATGTTTTACTTCTTATTTGAATAATTTTTGCTTATAGATACTATATAGTATCCTAATAAGAACCGTAAAAGAATTTGAATTTCTATTGAGATTTGAGTATGATATCCATTTTTCAATGAGTATTTTCTAGGGACACCCAGATTTTTGGAAAACTAGTATTTTGGAATTTTTAATCTAAATCTTTGTGCATACATGAAATTCAATTAGATAAACTTTCATACTGAATTTCTGAAGTTTTGAATAATATCTCTTCGAGATATGAGACTGTCAAGGTATAAATCTTTTGCCGTGATTACTGTATACAACATGCATGTTTTGAAAGCTTCATATCTTGAATATACTTGGTTCAAAACTTCTAGATTTATTTATAGAAGTGAGTCTAGTTGAGTTCTCTGTATACAAAAATTTTCCAACCAAAATTCGATAGCTTAGCGAAATATTAATAAGAACCGAAATTCTTTTAAGGTTTCCATAAGAACACTATATAGTATTAATCGGTAAAACAATCATTGGAATCGAAAGTGAGCATCCGAGGAGGTTCCCTTCTTAATCACTGAAAGCGAAGAAAACTTTCGGTACAATATGAGACTTTCTACGTATTGCATAAATCTACGGATCGGATGAAACGAGAAACAAATGTTCGACCTATGAAGAACTATGAAATAAACGATCACAAGTCTCACTTATTTGTCCTTCATCTCTGTTTTTCATTATAATAACTTCTGATATTGGATAAGATTGATCTTATTCAAAGTGTATAACATGAAGTCTGGCTGAATTTCTCATAAAGCAAAAGGTTAAATGTTCTGTATTTAATCACTTATTCTGTCGAATAAAAAGAAGCCTAATAAAATTCGACATTATTCAAAATTTCGTTTATTGTGTTTCAATTATTTTCTGAAGTCTTAAAAGGCGATAGATACTATGCTTAATCATTTAGAAAATGCTGGATATCTCATATTGTAATTGTGAAAGTAATATACGTTTGTTAATGTTATCTTATTTTCTATCACATGTATATCTATGTTTTATTCTTGTGTACTGCAATACTTGATGTTAAGCAATGCATTCGATGATGAAAAATATCGATGTGAAGCTTTAACTGATATTATTCAAACACTATTTGAAAAGCATTAATGTTTTCATGATCAAAATAATTAAACAAAATTTTTGTGAGGAATTTTTAAGAAAGTGATATTTTAGAGATGAACTTGAGTTGTTTTAATATTCAAACATAAGATTTATATAGCAATATTACATTTGTTGTTGATATTAGCAATATCTTCCTTTGCATCGAGATTGTTGTAGCTGCATGAACATCATTTTTTCATGTGTAACATTTGCAAAACGATGTCATGAAAACCTTCATATCAATTTAAGAGAAACAAAAATTGTATTCTTTCCTCAAATTATGGTAAAAATATAAGAGACATTTATTATTTTAGTTTAGTAATGAATACTTTGAAAATTTAGTTCAATATTTGTAAAGAAATTATTGTTTCAAGAGTATTGAATAATATTTTAAATATTAAAGTATTATATTAGAAGTTGTCATTTATCTAGATAGACTAATTCAATTAAATGAAAAATATATAAAATAAATGAATGACGATAGTGAATAGTAAGATTTTTGTCTATTACTTAAATGAGTTGTTTAATTAGAACTCCATCAGTAGGTATGAATTATAATTAATGGGTATGTGACTATATTTGATTATTTTCGTATCCACATTCCTTACTTTGCTGTCGTCACATTCGTCACCCTCCTATCAAAATTTAGGCCTAATTGAAAACAACTGTTCAAAGCGTGAACTATTCAGATGTTCATGATACTTTGAATTCCAACATTGAATGAACAGTAAAAGCGCTTGCCATTATTTCAGCCCTTATCAACTGAACAATCATCTGAAAATGACTATCCTTTTGATTCAGTATCACTGATTTTACAGAAACAAAAATTCTCAATTGATAATTATGTAATTCTTGTTAATTATTGTCATAACTGATGGAAAAAAGGTTTCCTATCTCCTTAAATATACACGAGAAATTGTACGGCTTTTCTTAGAATCATCATGGGTTTTTGTGGAAAAGTTATGGACATAATTATACGGTTCAAGAGACGAATGTGCTCTAGTTCAGTGCTAGAAACATAATATAAATATATGAATGAATTCATCTTGAGAAAATAAACAACGAGGATATTCTTCTGCACTCATGTATCAAGCGCTTATGAAAGAATTTATGCTAGTTACGTTTGATTTCTGTATCCGTGATGTTCTATAAAGCCATTGAACATATTTCATTTTCAGAAGAGAAAATTGAAGTATACGCTACCATCATAGTCGTATATAAATTTTATTAATCATAACAGCGAGAGGAAATCTAATTTCAAAAGTACCACTTATGAATAACTAATTGTGTTTGAGTTTTTCCGGTCAACTCTACATCGAAAGCAATGCTGTGCATTATCAGATCAATTAGATTAATAAAAAAGCGTTTCACATTAAAAAGAACATGATACAACGCATGAATGCTACGAAGTCAGGAACGATAGTTTTCTCTTTTCAACACATGTTCACAAACAATATCAAACGATTAGAACATGAATTGAATTTTACGTCTGATGCACGCAAATAAAACTATTGAGTAGACAAAATGGGAATAAATGTCAATAAACGTTATGAATCGTTTTTTTTTATGGAACTTAACATCTGCTGCTTAGAGTGCCGTTTTATAGACTGTGAAATGTTCCAAAATTAGAATCTACTAAATAAGTTTTATTGTTTAAATAATTTTAAAACTGTATTTCTTAGTCTAGCTGAGGAATCAGCTTAGTATGATTTGGATTTAGATGAGCAGTCTAAGCTGTTTTTTCTATTTGTTACCTATATCTGATATTTGAATATTGTTCATCGTGCTACCTTCACATCGATCAACATCAGTAGATTTCTGTAATACTGATTAGTGCGAGTGATTTTGAACGAATTTCATCTATTGGTTTTTGCAAATATATTTCATGCAATACACTTGATGTAGCAAAACCCATAACGTCAAAAATTTCATCATAAGTGAGAATAAAGCTAATTTTTATACTATTGTAAGATTAACTTTTTCTTATGTATTGTTTTCTCTTTCAATACCAATCTTTTGAGTCCACTATAATGAGCACAATCTCGATCAAAAGTTGTATCATATTGTCATTTATCAAATGTCCCATAACTCGTACTTTCACTATTACGAATCATCATTTTCAATTCCACAAAATTCTCTATTAAAACTACTTGATGTAGAAGGTAGTTTTCATATTGATAGAAGATGAACACGAGCTTGTTACACATATCGACTTGTTCAATCATATGTAATATAAACATCAGAATTAGCAACTTAAGGTCGTAATTCATTATCATATTCTCGTCGTTTAATTGAACCACCTAATGTATTAAATTTTACTAAATTTAATCACTGTATTTATATCACCTGGATTTACATCCGGATGATATTTGTCTTTTGATAGTCTATAAAAAGATGTTGTAATTTCTTTAGCTAAAGTATTTGAATGAAGACCCTATGCATCACGATGATATAAAGATAATTTTTTTATCGGCATAGAATCAACGATGAAATAAATAATAACAAGAAAACAATGTACCGATATGCGAAGTCGAACTGAAATCCTGAGTGGACACTGGGTCCATAATTTTCGGACCCCACATATCCATACATTGATACTCTCAATGCAATTTTTTGCACATTTCTCAGACAAGCAGGGCTTATCGAATCCAAAAATTTTCGGATCTGAACCTGACCAGACACATATTGAGTGACATGATTCAAAACAGATAAACAGGATAGTGTAAGTGAATAGTGAGAAATACATGTTCACATCCGCCGAACAACATTTTGATGAGCAACATTGTCCTACTAGCCATTTATTCTAAAATGAAATATCTTGTTTTGTGACATGATTTTATGTTTTATCTTCTATCTTATCAATTCAAAAAAGAAAAAAAAAAGGAAAACAAAAAAATCACATTAGTATGAGAAAGAACAAAAGACAGAAATAGTCAATTCAAGCATAGAACAAAAAACGACAAATGCAATTATTTACATATTGGTGCAACGTAAATATACACGAGAGACAAAAAACAACAAAAGCCATACAAATAAGGTCTTTTGTATACAAATGAACATGTATAAGACTGTTCAAATTTTGAATTCTTCATATCAATAAAATAGTCTAGTCTTGATATTAATATTTCGTTGAATAGAAATAATAAACGGAGACAAAAAAAAACAAATGAATCTATTTTAACATTGAGCATATAGCAATACACATAACAGACAGGAACAAATATCTGACAAATAAAAAAAGACAACAGATAAAAGATTGATTATCAATTAATTTCTGTTGACTTGTACTAATCCATGATCATAGGCATATAGAACGGCTCCACATGCAAATTGATATTGACTCTAAATAGTAGAAATAATAATTAAAAAAAACATCAATTAATTTATTAGTATTCATACAGCAGTTTGAATCATTCCTAAACGTTGTTCACGCATTTGTCGAACAATATCAAGTGGAAATACAGGTTGATTCGTTTCAATAAGACATAGAGCAGTTTCCATTAATATAAGAACACCTGTTCGACCAATACCAGCACTAAAAAATATATCAAACATAAATATTATTTCAAAATGTTTTACAAACAAGTATGATTCAATTCTGTATAAAATAGATATGTCGGCTTTCGAACTGAGATTACTTTCAATGTTGGATTGGGCAAGGATTTTTCCTTAAAACCTTTTATTTGTCTTCAGATAGATGTTCGATTCTAATTCTTGTTGACCAACTGTGTTGAAACAATAGCATTTTCAGATATTATCATCATCATTATCAATGAAGATACTAACAGGAGAATGTCTCTAACTATTCGATCACCATTTGATCGAGATTATATTCCGATGAGAAGATTCAATTGTTCGATCCTTTGTTTTCTAGATACAGAATATTTATGGTATATTTTAACAGGAAGTTATGGTTCTTTCAGGTCAGCATGAAAATTGAATGTCGAGTTTCAATTGGAAACTTTGCATAAATCAAGATCTCAATGACATTAATTCATTCGAAAAGCTTTATTGATTTAAGTACTTGGTATCCTAAAATATCAAAAGAAGAAACATGATTGTTTCTTCTTTTATTAGAAGCTTTTTTAGTAGTCATATCGCAGAGTAGAAGATTCAAAAACCAGTAAAACTTTCACAATGAGCTATTGAAGTTAAGAAGTTCACATGTAGAAAGTTCCAAATCAAAATTCGAAGTTCACAATGTTCTGCGAGGATCACCATTTTCTGTCAAACAACGCAGTCGATACTCAATGTCTCAAGAAGAAAGACTCGGACAAACAAATCTTCGTAGACCTTTACGCTACTCATCATGGCTTCTCACTTGAATAGAACCACGATTACAAAATAATCAAACTCTTGGAAGCGCTCCCTTGTTAAGTTTTTCATTAATAATTATAATAACTGGAATGACATTGTTTCAAAACAATTTGTCAATAAGAATCAGAATCGACATCTATCTAAAGACTGATGAAGGATTCAACAAAAATTTTTCTTCAATTCAAAATTGAAAGTAATCTCGATTTGAATACTATCATGTACATCAATAGTAGTCTTAGACTTTTTAAATGTTTTCCTTGATAAGAAAAGACCATTCATAGAACTATTGTATGAAAATACGTCTAGGTACTTTCTCTAACAGAATTATCTCTCTAAAAAAAGGAAACAAAATAGTTCACCTTATATAACCTTTCTAGGTCGGAATTCTTTTCGCGAAGCAAGTTATGCAATCGAGACTTTGTTTAAATGAATTAATATTCATTTCTAATCATTACTATTGATCTTTCAAAGACTAGTAAGACGCATATGTATGTCGCTCGCACTAGTTGATAGAATCAGTTCCATCTCTTGCTCATATTAAGTCATAGAGCAATACGAATTAGATCAATGATAAGTAGTGCGCATCAGTAGATCCGAACTATTCCGGAACGGGAAACACATCTATATGCGTCTTCCGTTTTGAAAGAGTTAATAATATATTCGATGATGTAAAGAAAAATGGTTACGAGAAAACAATGATAAATAAATTCTTTCGCTAAATCAACGAAAGTTTATTCATAATATAATTAGTCTTATTTTATATACCTGCAATGAACAAGAATAGGTAGATGTTTTTTTGACTTTCTTAATTCACGGATTTCTAAAACAAATTCAACAAAAGATGAAAAATCATTTGGTACACCATGATCAGGCCATGTTTCAGTTTGTATTTGATAAATAGTTCTTTCTTCATTAGTTTCTTTATGTGTAAAGAAAAATTCTCGATATATAAGTTGATTTTCTTTTCGTTCACGTCGACATCGTACACTAAATAAACCATAATCATTTGTTTCTAATACATTTGGCCAATATTGATGACATTTTATTCGACCACTAAAAAGAAAAAGAAAACATTATTAAATTACATAGAAGATAATATCAAATTCATACTTTTCAAATAAAGTCGTAAGCATAATTAATAATGTACATTGTTGTTCCCAAATCATTGTCCAAAAAGCTTCACACGTTGTTGGCAATGGTCCTTGTGTTGCTATATAACGATTAACCATATCTGTTGATGTAATTGGCATCTAATTAAAATAATAAATTTTATTACATAAATAAAAAAATTTGACTTTTTTTTTACATTAATAAAATTAGCATTAATATAATCACTATCTGAACTAGATTTAAGTATAACACGTGTTTGATCATAAGGTAAAACATCTTTATAACGATTACGATAATAATTATTTTGACTAGTACCAATTTCAAATGTAAAACCGTCTTTACGTCTTGGAAGCGTCTGAAGAAAAAATAAGAGGAAAAAAAAGAAGATTATTTTAATTTTATTTAAATATTTAACTTACTTCATACTGTTCAATAAGATGACCAGTTGTAAGATCATCACGTAATGTTTCTAAGGATTGTTCTAATGGATCTTTTTCATTTAAATTTAAAAATTCATTATCATAAGTATGTTCAGAATCATTATCATTATTTGATGATAAATGACATTTATTTAAAGGTCGTATTAAAAGTTCTAATTCACCAGATGGTCTATCACGTGATTGTCGAATCATATTAACAACCTAAATATATATTAATAAAATGTTTGTGATCTTTTGTATTATATTATAATTTACTTCTTCATGTGAATAATTTAGTATATCAATAGTATTAATTGATAATATTTGATCACCTTCATGAAGTGATGCTTGATTAGCAGGTGTATTTAAAGCTATTCTTGAGATAACAATTGGTGAATGTTCGTCACCTCCACCCTAAATAAAAAAAAATACAAGGTTTGAAAATCTTAATTTCTTATTTAAAAAATTCTTTAGTTAAATACTTTAACATTAAAACCATATCGACCATCACTATCTGGTTGAAGTTTAATAGTTATTGTATTGGAATTTTCTTTTGTTGGAATATCATCAATATATGATGTTCCGTTAGACATTTCAAGACTAAAAAAAACTCAAAAATAACTAAATTGAATTATGAAGAATCATCAAAGTTGTTACAAAGTATAAAATTATCATTACAGAGGGTTACCTGTAAAATTTTTTTTGCAAAATAAGAGAACGGAAGAAAAAGAAACTATTTGTTTTCATTCCTCTAAGAATATATGAAACCTATGAAATCTTTTACCTATTTTGACAATTATTTTTTCTAGGTAAAGTAGCATTTTTTGGTTTATATTCATTAGCTTCGATTAATGCGTTATTATTTATTGAAGAATTTTGTTGTTGAGAATTTTTCGGTGTATTAAATGGTTGTCGAGGAGGTTTTGGTGGTGGTGGAGAACGAGTATTTAATATTTTATCAGATTTTGATATTGATACTGATGATGACGAAAGAAATAAGACTGTTTTTAAATTTGAGTTTCTACTTAATGATAAACTATTATTTGTTGTTGATATTGGTAATGTTGATGAGCCATTTATCGAACGAAAACTTCTACGACTTGAAACTCTAAAAGAAAAATAAATAAAAAGAAAAATCATTTCGACTTTATTTAAAAAAACAAAAAAAATATTTACCTTTCAAATGTTTTTGGTTTTTTACCATTTGCTTCAATTAACAAACCATTTTGTACAACATCATTACTAAAACAAAAAGAAAAAGTTAAAAATTGATTTTCATAATAAAATAATCAATATTTACCTATGTCGAAATTTATTAGTAAATTGAAAAAATCTTCTTGGTGATGGTGGAATTGATGTTAAACGAAAAAATGTATGATGATCAACACATGATTTCCATAAATATTTACAACAACGATAACTACGTAGTGTAAATACAATTGAATTATCATCTGGTGAATTCTAAGTTCAATGTCAAAAAAAAGAAATAAATCTTCACGCTTTTTATTTCAATTAAAAATAATAACGAGAAAGACATGCGATAACATGCTTATTACAGAATAGCGGGTTTTTTTTTACCATGATATATAAGCGTGATGGTATTTCATCTTCAGTCTGCAATTGATATTTCCTAACTTATTGAATTTATATTTATAAAAAAAAATCGTTTATACTTACAAGACTTTTAACAAGTTGAATATAAAATGTTCGACGTTTGAAAGATATTTTTGTTATTCGGTCCCTAATTTTAAAAAATGATCTTTTGATAAGTTAAATTTTGTTTTTGTATTACCAAGAAAATGTATTTAGTTTAGTTGAATTTTGAAAAACAGATATACCAATAGCACAAACACCAACATATAATTCAACAATTGAATTATTTACATTATCATTTGTGTTTGATACCTAATTAAATCAATTAATCAATCAACTAAATAAATATTTTATCATTAAATATCTACTCACTTTAACAGATGCTTTGTGTAATTCTACACCATACATCTCTAATGAACTAACAACACGAAGATAATTGACCTCCGCATCAGCAGGAGATTGACCTCTATTTTTGTAAATATATAAATATAAATTAATCTTTGTTTAATTTTGTTCAAACTTTATTGATCTTATTGTACAAAATAGAACATCACTTGATTCAAAGCTCTAGTATATCATCAAGAAAAAAACACCAATGAAAGATGATGATTTTTATTAGACTTTCTTTTTTTTTTTTTTGTAAAATAATATTTCGAGAATTAAATATTATTGAATGTTTAATAAAATAATAGAAGAAAAAAATTACAAGATGATAATCTTGGGAAATCGAACACATGAAAGATAATTTTAAGAAGTTTATTATCTTTAGATAAATCCAATTTCATCTGTTATATATTGAAAAAGTTTTCGAATTACGATTATTTACAATAAATAACAAACATAACATGCACTTTTATTGTGTTAATATTATTAGGTTTCTTTTCTAGTAGTCAGTCTATAAAGTGTATCCTATCTGTAGACACCATAAACTCTGCTTGATTATGACATTTGTAGAATCATATACTAGTCTGCCTTATATCAAACAGCCAAGATCGATAGGAAAACTTCTTGTTCTCTGAAGTCAATCAATATTGAATATTAATGAGTGAGTGATGACAGCTCATGATAATATTGTACAGTTGTAGATCTTCTAGAACAAGACACCGTCATCAAATGATATTGAAGTTTTCTTTCTCTTTCTCTTTATCAAAATCAATACTGTGTTCTATATTATTATGTAAAAGATTTATTTAATCAGAGCTTATAGATAGAAATACTGTAGGAACTAAAAGAATATATCTTTACTGATTATTTTATTTCAATAAAATTTTTTTAAATAGATCTTCTTACCTATGTTCTTTATGATATTGTTCAACTTCATTTTCAAAATCAGAATTTTGAAATGGTACAAAACGAAAATCTTCTAAATAACCTTGTCGATGTTCATCTGAATCATAATCACCAAGTTCACCTATATAAACAAAACATTGCTCGTTTGTTTTTTTAACACTAACTCAATTTTCTCTGATTTTTTTTCAATAATATTTACTTTGTACAATATAACTTGCAAGTATAGCTGCTGTTGATCTTGGACACCACATTTTTCCACTTAGTAATTCTTTTTTTATTTGTAATACATATAAATATTTTGTAAATTCATCATCAATTTGTGTTGATGGATCTGTCAGAAAGAATCGTACTTTAAAATAAAGATGATATGGTGACATGGTTGTTGTTAATTGTTTTTTAAGTGTTTTTGTTGAATCTAACCATCGATATGCAAAATCTTGTGTTAAATCTTCAATAAGTAAACCAAAATATTTTCTTTCAGTTGATAAATCCAAATAATCAAATATTTCATTAAGTAAATCAATTCCTTTCGAACGACGCTAAAAATAAAACATTAGAGAAAAGAAAAAGAATTCATTCGTTTTAACTTACATCTATATGAAATGTTCGTTCAGTATCATCAAGAAAATGTACTATACATGGATAATGACGAAGATTTCTATCACGCGCTATTTCAAATGCACGTACATTATATGAACGACATGACGATGATGTTGATGAAATATGGGATGATAAAATTGGTGTTGATGTTTTACTACTTGATGAACGTCTTAATGAAATCATACGTTGAAGTAAACGTGTTTTACTCGATGATAACAATGATGTATCGTCTTGTATTTGAATTGATGAACCATTATTTGTTGGTATTGTTGTAGATTTTTGTCGTACAATATCAGATAGATGTGATGATGATGATGATGGTTGTGTCAATGGTATGACTGCTGTTGATGAATCATCTGTTGATTGTGATAGAGATTGCGATGATGATAATGATGCAGTTGTTATTGCTATTGCTCCTGCTGTTGCGGTAGCTGCTGACGAGAGAACAAATTTTTTATTGCTCGGTCTCGTTGCATTTTGTTGCTGTTGTTGAACGAAGGGAGCCGCCAGTTTTTTTTTTTGAATTTTTTTTTATAATAATAATTTCTATAGAAAATTTAATTCATTTTGATGTTCTTTTTTTTTCTAGTAATAAAAAAAAATCTTGAAAAAAAGAAAAAGAAAAATTTATACTTGAGAAAGAATTAATTTAATTACTAGAATCAATTTGATCGATGACGATTATTAATGTGATCAGAAGAAAAAAAACCACGAACGAACGACAGCGCTCAATTCGGTCAAGCAAATGTCTTACTCAACTACTCAAATCAATATTTAGAAAAGAGATGATCAGAATGAACGAGACAGAAACATTCAAAGCCCATCGACCTTTTCTTATATTCTGATTAGAAGCATGATTAAAAATGAATGAGAACAAAATGAGAATAGTGAACATAAAAAAGAAAGCAAAAAAAAACTCTGCATGTTGCCAACTCATTATCAAGCTTTCGACAAGTCTTTCTGCAATAGCTAATCTTTCCATATTTCTTGCTCAAAGAAAAAAAGACTGCCCAATTACATGACATCCAATTGCCTGAAACTACTTAGAATGTTGTCATCATTTTTCTTATCTTTTTTCGTTGTTATAAAAAACAAAAAGAAATCAAGAAATGTCTACACATGTCCTTTGAGAATAATCTATTCAAAAAATAAGTACAACTTACAATACAAGGAAAAGATGACTAAACACTAGTTTATCTAATATCTGTAAATACATTCATATAATCGACGATTATCATCGTTCTACAACTATTGAGTTATAAAACTTGCATAATCATTTGGATAGAGAAACAAATCGAAGAATAAATGGAAAGAATAGAACTATGATTAAGAAGCAACTACAATCATATCGGCATCTTTTTCTACATTCTCGCTCTCGTTTTTTTTTCTCTCTTACTCGTTCTTCTATGCTCGTGCAAGCGTGTATCTGTGCGTGTGTGTGGAACAAAACAATATATATGAATAGAGCCTATGCTCCTTCATTCGTTCGTTTATTCGCTCTCTCTTTCTCTCTTGCCCTCATCTCTCTTCCCCTCTCTTTCTTCAATGTCAATGCTCACCAACTGTACATACCCTATTTTGCCTTGGTGCGAGGGTCATAGAACACACACTTATACATATGCACAACAATGACGGCCATCACTCTACAGTCATCATATTTTTTTTTTCTTCTTTCTATCAGTCTTCTTTTTTTGGGTGTCAAGTCTCATCGAACAATCTGACCGATGCGTACATTTGAAAAAAAAAAGAAAAGGCGACATGGAAAGAATTTTATCAAGAAAAAAATGTGTCGACAAGAGCAAAAAAAACACATACACAAACTATGTCACGAAATAATAACATAAATAGATACATCTGACTTGAAGAAAAGTTTGTTTATTTTTTGTTTTATTACAAAAGTCGTCCACGACAATTTTTTGAACCACAAAAACATTTTACTTCACGATCAGGTAATAATTCACAATTGTAATGCCAAGTGAGTTCTGCGAAAATAAAAGAAAGACATGTATTAAATCTACATGATATTTGACACTTTATTTTGTGAGATAAGTAATCTCAGAATTTATTTCAGATACTATTTCATATAATTGATAATCAATATTTTCTATTGAGGATATTTCGACAACTCTATCAACTTCTTAAGAAAATGAAAGATGACGCATGAGAAAACTTGTGTCTCTCTGGAGTACTTTAAAGCGAAAATGCTCCAACGAGATTCTGAAAATTAACATAGAATCGATTTGTTGAATGAACACAAGACTCGAGATATACAACCTGTTGTTTAGTCATTGAAAGAGGAACTTGAAATCGAAAGATCAAAAGATTCAAGATAAAACAGTAACTACTGAGTCCAAATATCATGATTAACGAAACAACATCAATAATATTTAGTAAAAAGCCTTCTGTCATTATTTGTAATCTTTCATTATTCAAGAATTCTACGCATTCTAGATGAGTACTAGTTTGTATCTATTAGCATCATTCAAAAGAGGAGGAATAATGCATGGAATTCGCAATTGGCTATATTTTCGAAAACAAAAGTGTATCTTTAGAAGTGCTTGGGTGAGAAAATGTAAGATAGAAAGAGAATTTACCTTCTCCTGCTTTAACACGAGTACCAGTAAATAATGCTAAATTTGGAAAATGTAAATCATGTGATTCAATAAATACATTTTGAATGTACATATTTGGATTACATGAATGATTAAAATATTTTCCTAAATTACTATATAAACTTCCATCGATAACATATGGTTCATCATCATCATTATCATCAATATCATCTTCATGATTAACTTCATAATGAATTTGTCTAACTAAATCAAGACTTGTTTGATATTTGTCATCCATTATTTGAGCACGTTCATGTCCTTGATCTGATGTTATTAATTCTCCAACATATTGACAAATAAATGTTCCACGTGGTAGATCATGCAATGAACGTAAACCCCAACCTTTATTTTTATCTTTAAATAATTGTAATTGTACAAATAAACCTTGTTGTACAAGACGATTTGAACAATGTCTACGATGACATGAACATTTTGAATTACATTCATATATACCACTTGATACTGGATTAAGTAAACGTTTTCTTTGATAACCTATAGTTTTAATTATATTTGAAAGTGTATTACGATTTTTTTGTTTTTCAATAACTATTGGATCATGATTGAGTACAGCTTGATCTAATGTTTTACGAAAACAGGCACATTTCATTCGATCAGTACAGCTTAAAACGAACAAATAAATAAAAATAAAAAATAAAAGAAATTTTCATCCAACGTTGCACTGATTAAAACAATATATTTCTACTTAAAATACTGGCAATTCGAACTTTGAATTAAAACTTTTTTTTGTCTTCATTGGATAGAGCTCACTGAGTTACCGATAAAAACCTTATTTGTGATATATTACTCAGACGATAATCTTGTTGGAAGAATTAGATTAAACAAAAAAATAAAAATCGAAATACTTCAAAAGCAATAAACTTCAATATTTATTCGATTTCTTTCGTACGATTTCACTCGTCGAATGCAGTGATCACAAAAAATTTCTCTGTCAAATAAAAAGTAACTAACCTTTATTACTTTAGTCTCATAGTTTGACCACAAATTGAGCATGTTGATCGACCGTCATTCGAAAGAGCTAGAAGGTCAACGCAAACTTTTTTCTTCAGATGAAAATATCTCAACAGAAAAAACAAATCTCATGATGTTAGGACAGCTCAATGCTATCTCTATCATCGATAAAAATTTCATGTCAAACGGTATTTGGTTCGCCTGATTTATTGAAGTATTCTTTGGATAATCTTCACATGAGAGTTGATTGGAATCGTCGGAAAGTAACCGATATTTCCGATTAACTTTAATCATATGCCTTAAAATTTTCTTCAGTGAGTGTTCTGCTCTAATTAGATGTTCCCTCGAAATTTCACGATCGCAATCATTGATGGAGAAAAGATCTATGCTGAGACTGTTCCAGATAATGAAGGCTTCTGCACGTTTGAAGATCATAGCGGATGAACATATTTTATCTCTAGGAAAATAGCAGAAAAATTCTTTTTGGATCGTGAAAAAAAGTGTTTTCGTCTTAAATTCCTCGTATTAAGGTCTGTTGAACTCGGATTGCTACTTGCAACCAGGCTTCACCAAGTTCTATTTGTAGTCAAAATATCAGACAAATGAATTGGTTTCAAAAGAAACCAATATGATACTTACAATCAACGCAAAAATCTATATACAATAGTATAATCAATACTCAACAAAAATTTTCATCCTTACATCACCTTATTGTAACCCATCGGGCATAGTTCTAAGAGTTTTGAACTCGACGAGCTCTAATTATCTGAAAAACGTGTAGGGGATGCGTTTGTCACTGTATACAACAAAAAAACAGAAAAAAGTATCTCATATCTTTAGGGCGACTATTCAATTTCAATTACAAGATTTCATTGAAGGTATTAAAGTATAATTCAATCAGATTCAAAAAAATTCTAATTGAAAGACCTGAATTCGATGGAAATGAATATCAAGTATTGAGTATAGTTTTTGATGAAGATTTTAGCATAAATTCTCAACATAATATTCATTTCTTTAAACAATATTTATTTTCAAAAATGTTTTTCCCTACTATATGATCAGTAAAATCAGACGACAAATTCTAATAATTATTGATACTACCAAGACTTAATGCTTTTGACATATTTCAATTCTTATGAGAATTTCTAATTGTTTTTAATCGTAATTTTCACTACAAAACTCACATCTTTATAAATAACTCCACAATATTTATCCCATCATTACAAAAATTAATTTCTGCTCAAACTTCGATTTGCCAATATCTTACTTATCAACACAATCACAACACGATGTCATATTTGTATCATTAAATGCAGCATAAATTCGATTATCAAATGGATGAATTTGAGTAATATAAGTAAAATTATCTGGTTTATCATTATCTATATCATTATAAACAGATATTTCAATAAGTTCTTGACCATTCGAAAGATCATCCACAATAATAAATTTTTTATCAAATTTTTCTATAGCTGGTGTAAAACGTGTTACAAGATCATCAATAAAAAATTTTATAGATAATTTCGATTCTGTTCGAAAGAGATATTTTTCAATTTCATCAAGTGTATAAAATATACGACGACATGGTGTACGATAACCACGCGGTTTACCATCTACAATTGACCATTGATATTCAAATGGAAGTAAAAATGGATTTGTATGAATTTTATCAGCATGAAAATTTTCTTCAACTAATGAGACACATCGTTGACTACATTTATGTCCAATATATGGTAAACTATTAAGTATACGAAATTTTGGTAAAAGTACGTCAGTATAATAAGCTGTAAGCATATTAGCACGTGATACTAATGGAACTTCATCACTAGATGAAGAAGATTGTCGTTGTGAAATTTGTATTTGTTTAGTATTTGATCGATCACGAAGTTTTTTCGTACCTAAAATGAGAAAGATATTGTTGCTTTTGTTTTTATGACTTGATTTAAGGCGTTGGAAATGCAAAATTAAATCAGAATTTTTTCTGATGTTCTCTATTTTCTGGAACAAAAGAGATCAATATTTAATAATGAACATATTGCCAATTTTTTTCTGTCTTCCAGATTCAACGTGACAAATTGAATCTAGGAGAGTTCATCACAACTGACTTCCTAGATTCAATTATTCACGTTGAACTTGAAACAAAAGTAAATTGACCCTCGTTTATCATCGGAAGAAATTGAAACTTCCTCTTAAAATATTCTTTTCAAAAAAAGAAAATGAAAACACATGTACTTTTGATCAACTAGTCACACTTTATTTAATCATGCATATAGAATACAGAAATTTTTCTTTAATTCTGTATTTCTAGCACCTTAATAATCAGAAGGTTTGCATGAGAATTTATTGAATTTCACTAATCACTTGTTGATAAATCAAACAATGAGCACAAAAACAATTGTATTTATTTATCTAGTAAAGTACGTGCTTACAATCAAAATACATTGTAATCAAACGAATCTGTAATTGATTTATTCTTCTACAATGTTTTCCTCTCATTGTCAGAAGGCATTTTATTCTTAATTAATCACGTTCTTAGACGTTTCTTTTCTTTTCCTAAGTGCATTTTTCATTGTCGGACAGACAATCAATTATTATACGACATCTTCCATTGTTTCACATATAATACTCAATCATTTATTATCATTATTTTCTTTTTTGATAGAAAATACCTTCATTTATATTGTTGACATGTGGTTTCCGTTTACGTAAACGTGATAAATCTAAATCTGCAATCATCATATCATTTGTTGAATCAGAAGATTTAAATGGTGATGATAATAATGATGATGATGATAACGAAATTTTTAATTTTGTTGATAATGATAATTCTTGTGATGAATCAATCATTGATGATTTTGAATGAATCCATATTTGTGTTTGAGATTTTCGTTCATAAAAACATATTTTTATAAGTGAACAATCTTTATCAATAATACGTGAATTATGATATTGTGAACCAAATTTTCTAACACGCATTATTGTACCTATAGAAAAATTTGATTGTTGAATTCTATTTGAATTTTTAAATGCATGTTTATAATATGAACGTAAGTCAGTATAATCAATATTTGATAAATGTTTGTGAAAATCTTGACAAAGACAAAGATGAAAATCTGTTTGTAAATGATACTGAGCTGTATAATTATCATATATAATAAGATATCGATTCAGATTTTTTATTGAACAAGGTTTTTCAAGTATAAAACCAAGTAAAGATAATGAACGATTATAAACACGAGTTCTTATCGGTATAGACAACGATGAATTTGATGTACTTGTATACAATTGTCGTTTAATTACACAGTCCATTGATAATATGGAAGTATAATTAACCTAGGAAATAAAAATATACTACAATATTTTAAAGAAGAATTCATATTAGTATTCTTTACTATAATGAAATGAGTTTGTGAAAGATTTGAATAAGCTAATGCTGCTGTACATATTTGCATAGATAAATTTGGTTTAACATGAATTAATTCAGTACCAATATCAAGTTTTGAAATTAAATTTTTCAAAATTTGACTATCTTCATTTTCATGTATATTTATATTTGATATTTCGTTGATTTCACTATCATTGTCATCATCATCAAGAATAACTACAACATTTTGATTTGTTTGTTGTTTATCCTAACAGATGCCGATTTGTAACGATGTGTTCTTTTGTTTCTGACAGACTTACGGACAGTACTGATGATACAGTCGAACAAGGATTGTTGAATATGGACGAGGATTTCTTGTCATTATGGAAATCTAGGAAATGAAAAGAATAACTAAAGAAAATAAATACAATAAAGCGTCCAATCGAATTATTTTTTAATCACTAGATAGATGTTTGTAAGTATATCAAAAGATTAATTTAAGAGTACATCACAAATTTTTATAATTCATCATTCTTGCATACCATAAGGAGTATAATTTTTCGAATTACAAGTATTACGAAACAATCAATCTAAATCGGAGCAAAACTGCTACTTGCTAAATGTGAACTACTTTGATTCGCTATGAATATTTATTATATTTGTATGTCATCTGTCAAACACTCAACGATTGGAAGGACAGTCATTAATGTTTTTGGAATTCGGAACTGTTTCGCAGAACTTTAATTTTATGTTTCGTTTTTTTGAAGAAATGTTGTATAGTTCTCGAGAAAAATCGTTAACAATTTATTGTATAAAATATTATGATACATTTTGAAAAATACAAACAAAATAGAACGTTATAATACGGCTATGATTCTATATAAAATAATACAATTATCCAATAATTACTCTTTCTTTGTATGCAAAAATGATAGGTTTTGAATTACCTTTGAAATAAGAATTATCTAATTTTAATTATTATTTGCAATATTATGATTTATATAGACAATTAGAGAGGACTGTTAGTTATCATGCAATTAGATCGTGCAGAGAATTATTACTGTACAATTATATATAAAAATCACTAAATGATTTGTAAATAGATATTAAAATCTTATGATTACAAACATGCAGAATCAAATAATTATCCTGTGATTTATTCTTCTTTGACTAAGACAAATCAATTAGCGTTTTATTCTATTTCCCATATTAATATTGATAACATGGCTACAAAATGTTTTTACTTGTAAGTGACATCTCCAATTACGAAAGATGTTTGTAGTAGAGAAAGTTAGACGATCAATCGGAAATAAAGAAAACATTTTTTATTATTTTTATAAAAGAAACAAAAGCAAACGTAGTTGTCTTTTTTTTTTTTATTTGCACCAAGTTATATTTTATTGCTTTACCTTATAAAAATTACTAAAAAATTTAATATTTTTATTAACTATAACAAAACTTTTTATTTCATTTGAATTTTAAAAAAAAATCTAACCTTTAACAGTTTTAATAATTCGATTGATTGGATTACTGTTTTCTTTATTTTGCTAAAATATAAATCTTATCAAAAATTTAATTCACAAAAACGAAAAAGAACCATATACTTGTTCAAAAAATGTATTCATATTCTAAAATAATATTAAACAAAAAGTTAATATATCTATTTTGATATTATGTTAAATATGTATTTTTTTCACAGAAAAAAAAAAAAGAAAATAAATAATGATCTATTAATTTATCCTCTATGCTGCTTTCTTTTTTTCTTCATTTTAATAACAATAACAAAATGTTTTTATGAAACAAATCTATATAGCTAACAAAAAAAAAGAAAGAAAATGTTTATAAAATACAAAAGAAAAAGTTTAGATACTCTTGACAAAAATGAGAAAAAAAACATAACACTATTCATAACTAGGACAAATAAAATATCTGAGGATTGTTCTCACTAAACAAATATATATTTTCGTCGTTAATTATCTGAACAAAATCAAAAGAAATTTCAATCACAATAAACGACCACGACAATTCGATGCTTGACATTGACAATCAATACGAACATTGGGCATACAACCTACTGTATAATTGTAATCCCAGCATATTTCTATTAATATAAAAGTGAATTAAATAAGAAATAAAATTAAAACGATTTTGAAATTTACCTTCACCAGCTCGAATATTTCGACAAGCAAAAAGTGCAATAACTGGAAATCGTGGATCATGAGAATTAATAAATACCTTTTAGAATACAAAAGAAAAAACAAACATCATAATATATCTGTAAATGTTTATGATAAATTACATTTTGAATATGCACATTTGGTTTACATGAATGATTATAAAATCGACTTATGGCACCATAATGCTTAGCATCGAGAATAAAACATGAATCATCATCATCATCATCATCATCTTCATCATTTTCATCATCTTCATTATCACTTAATAATTTTATACAACGTTTTACTGGAATTCGACCCCTTACTAGAATTTTAGAAAAACATCACAATTTTAATTTAACCTCGTTATTGTTTCATTCGAATATTTAGGCAACTTTAGAAATCAGATTGTTTTTCTTATAATGTTAAAAAAGAATTTGCTTGTTTACATCTTTGATTGATGTTTACTAGATTAAAAATATGTAACGGAAAATAATTAAGTTTCTCCCTCTCAAAAACCGATCTTGATCAAGAAACAGTCAACTCACAAGGATCTAAAATAATTCATTTATTCTTTGTGAGCTTTCATTTTATAGACATCATTTTTATCCTAAAGAGCAAGATAGAGACCCTTTTTTTTTTCTTGAATTCTCATTGTTTAAGAAGAGAAAAATTCAATATCTCAAAAAATGGTATAGAGTGTAATGGAACTCCTTCGAGAAATCTGAAATGCATGATCATAAATCATGTCAGACGTCAGGCTATCTTTCCATGCATTCATCTCAATTTTTATTTTTTCCCAGAAAATTGACTTTCTTTTACGTAGATCGTTTCTCCGCTCTAGTATGTTCGGTCGAGCTGAAACGTTTTTGCATATACACTTTATACTGTTTGAGATGGGTTACTCTATCGTTTCGAACAGTATTTAGTGCCTAGAAAAAAGACAATTTTCAGCTCGACCGAACATAAAATCTCAGAAAAGCGGAAGCCTATTATGATTAGCATCTCATGGAACACAGCTTTCGGAACGATAAATTTTACCCTAGTCGTCAAGATCTAACTCAGCCCTGAAGCTTTGAAACTTTTCGGATAGACCAGTCGGCAGGAACTACAATGTCTTTCCGCAATTTATGAAATAGTAATTTAAGCTTTTTTTCTACGCAAGCATAAAATGAAACAAGGGAAAAAATAGATTAATAACACCTTACTGAACCATATAATTAAAGCATTGAAATACCAATATGTACTAAGAATAGAATTCAGTATAACGTGTGTCACTTATTATGGAAACGGTAACGATCGTGGCGATAATCACATTTGTTCATAGAAAGGACGAATATTAAATTAGTTAGGTGTTATGCGTCTTTTTTATCACTGCACACTTGGTTGCCATTGTATAATAGAAGCATTTTTGTCGAAAATGAATTGTATTTTATTGTCTTTTGGGAGTGTATAATTAAACTATTGATTAATCATCTTATCAAATAAATTCTATTATTTAATAAGAATATATCTAATTTCTTTCTTTTTATTTCAGCCTATTTTTATTGTTGCTATACATAGAACACTATTTGACCTTCGTCGATGATATAGATCGTTAATGAAAAGAGGTCGTGACAAACTAAACAATACATGTTCGTGACTCATACTCATGGTCACTATGACACCAAAACAATGCGTTTGCTTAGGTCAATATACATATATATATAAATCTTCTTGTTACAAACACATATCAATGTAACAGTAAACAAATATGTAAATCCATCTTCAATATATCCAATTAAAGTATCTTATATTAAATCGTAAAATAGTACTTTGTTCTATAAATAATGACGTAACTAGGAGATCGTGGGTAGTAAAGTAGTGTCCAGCAGAAAAAAAAACTCCTACCATTTAATATGCTAATATCATTAAGTTTATCTTTTATTGGTGATTCTGTTCGTTTTTTATTATCAGTTGTATTTAAATGACTTTTATGATCTAATATAGCCAAATATTTAAAGTCACGTTTAGTTGCCATTTCTTCAGTTATTAATTCTCCAACATAAGCATTAATAAAACTTGAGAAAAACAAAACAAAATTTTCTCTTTATGAAATCCGTTTTTTTTTAATGTTTACCTTCCATATGGTATATCATGAAGAACACGTAAAGCCCAACCTTTTGTATTCGTATGAAATAATTGTAATTGTTGATATAAACTATTTTGTACAAGACGATTTGTACATTGTTTTGTATGACATAAACATTTTGAATTACATTCATATATTCCACTCCAAACAGGAGTTTTTAAACGTTGATGAATATATGCAAAACGTGAAATCATTTGTTCATCAGTAAAATGTTGTCGTTGCCAATTTAAGATTTGTTCATTATCATTTAATTTAGCTTGTTCAAATGTTTTCAGCCAACAGGGACATTTCATTCGATTACGACAACTTCATAAATTAAGTATGAAAATTTTTCAATGGAAATGATTCTGTCGGATGAGACGGCTACCACTCAATAGATAAGCCACTTGTACTGTTTTGTAGAGCGATTCATAGCGCATCGAATGGTATATAGGAAATTGTATTTTCGTTAAATTTAATGTTCTGATTAGTCATAAGCTAGTTTAGAAATATTATAACAATTGTGGATGATATGACCAAATATTAGAATTCAGTATGTCTCCAAATCAATCTAGTTCAAATTTGGTTTAATACATTTGACGTGACTTAATCTCATAGATGGGCCATGTGGCTCACTGATGAATCACACTGCTATAAATGTATTTAAAATCGTCTGATGTCACCGCTAGATAGTCCTCACTGTGATGTGTATCTTCTATAAAAAATCAGCTCTTTAGATCCATGTATCGAATTTTTACAATTTTCCTCGTCAAAGTTGCGCATTTTGGGGGGGGGGTTAAAATCATGTGTACATTTATTTACTTCTTACTATATCTCATTTCTATTCTTACGTGAATTCTTTCTTAACATATATCATTCGCTAGAAAAAAGAATGCACGACACGGTGGAGTATTTTTCATCGTAAAAACACCTTGAAAAAGTCCTGAGTTTCAGGACGTGCCCATATGCTAGTGCAGATCTTTAATAAACCTCATTTTTCTCCACCATAAAAAGATTGAAAAATATACTTTTAGATATATTATTGAAAAGAGTGTTAAAAACTGCACAAGATAAACTTATTGATTAATTTTTAGGAACAATGTGTTACATTGGAGG